CAGAAGCCTCTCCCACAAACACCATCACGTCTTCAGAAGCCGCTACGACTGTCGTCACCAGCCCGACAGATGAATCTAATAACCAGGATGCTGATTTCGACCAGAACAAGTCGTACTTGTGCAAGTGCGGCAAGAATTTCTACAAAACATGCATGTACATTGCGCACACGAAGTTATGCAGGGTATACGCAATGGCAAAGAATACGGATCATTTCCAATGCAAGAACTGCCACAGGTTCATTTACAGTCTACAGTTTCATAATCACACATGCGCCCCGGCGCCCAAATGGAACTGTCACGACTGTGACGAGAATTTCAAATCGTTTAACGAACTGGTTCAGCACTACAAGGACTATAAGCATTCGATGACCTGCGGCACGTGTCTAAAGGAATGCACCAGTTACGGCAGTTTGGCGGCTCATAAGATGTCTTGCAATCCGAAATTTGCTGCAAAGATTACAAAGGCTGTAACGTCTACGACGACGACGACGACAACAACAACAAATACCACTGGCGCCACTTTGTCTACAACTCAATCGTCCTGCAAAACAGTCAAAGTGCAGCAGGCTACACAAATACCTGCTGAAACTAAAACCACCACTTCAAACAAAACAAAAATCAATTCCACCGGAAAAACCAAGACCTGTAAAATTTGCAACGTGATATTACCTTCGGATGAAAAATTAAAGAAGCATACGTGCGTCGCACCGTCTACTGCGGCGACTACTACCACAACTAAATGCGATCTCTGTTCGGTCCGGCTGCCTCCGGAAGCTCTCATTAGTCACATCGAAAGTCATTTTTCCATTGTTCAAGTAAAGAACGTAACTGGCTCAACGTCTACGGAAATGAAAGCTCAGGAATCGCCTGCGGAGCCAAAGGCATCGGATAATAATAATGTAGAATTGATGTTATCGGAATTGAATAAGATTATATCGGACACAAAGAACCTAAAGTGCTTTAAGTGTACGATTTGTAATAAAATTGAAACGACGGAGAAGAAGTTACAAGAACATTTGGAACAGCATATAACTGTTCACCAAAAGCCCAACCACGATCATTCTGCGCATCCACCGACGACCACTACGAAGGTAGTGAAACCCTCGGAAATTCTACCAAAAACCGTAGATGTAACGACAAAGAACAGCACAAATCAGATACCACTGCAAAGGATGATCCCACTGATGAACAACCAAAATCCACCGAAATTATTCTTGATAATGACGCCTACGGGTGGGACGTCCAGTGTGACCCCTGTATACACAACCATGACGAATCTTAATCTGATGACGCAGAGCTTGAGCACCTTTGCCATACAACCTCAACTTAATTTAAACACCACTCATACAACCGCTCAGATGCCTATAAGAATGCAGATAACGCCATCCAGCGTCAAACAGCCGATCGCCAATAGTATTAGCAATTTTGTGATAAGCGATGTCACGTCTGGACCTGCTGCACAGTCTATGATAGAACAGCAATCGCCGGCAATTGCAGTTCCACCCGTCGAAGGTGCAGTTTCATCAGGTGCTCCCGCTATTGGAGATTCTATTGATGCTGCTGCAGTATCGAATAATATTGATGACGATACCGCTACTAAAAATGTTGATGAAACGATCGATGATGGATCGACTGAAAATGCTATTGATGTATCTAGTAATCCAAACTATAAGCCAAAGATATTTGTAAAGCCCCTAAGTCAGTTGCTGAAAAGCCCGGTTAAAACGCTTGTAAATGAAGCTTTAAGCAGTGAGAGCCAAAAGCAAAATGTTGATGGCAGTCAGGTGAAGAAAATAATCGATACAGATACAGGCACGGTGATCAAGAAAAATGTTGCTGAAGCCGAGAAAACTGTAACGAACGTGGTGTTAGCCGAACCTGGCAAGCTAGAAGCAATAGGCAGTGCTTCTAGTGTTAAAACTATTATAGAAGTTGTTAGTCCGAGCACGAGTATGCTGCCGAATATAAGTCTAGTGAAAACCAAGGGCGTGAAGAAGTTCTTTAAGTGCTCCATGTGCAACATTCTTCAGAGAAAGTCTTACCAGCTGAAACAACATCAGAAGAAGTACAACTGCAGGGTGTGCCCTTACTATTGCTGCAAGCAGGCCATGATGGATAAGCATTACATAGACGTGCACAATTACAAGAATCGATGCGCGCTTTGTGACATGCAATTCGATACTATAAAAGACCAGAAGTTACACAAGAGGAAAGTGCATTGGTGTTCTCTGTGCGGTCGATGTTTTGCGGATTTGGAGCTGCACGAAAAGGCTTACACCTGTAAATCCTGCCAGTTTACAGCATGCAACAACGTCATCCTGGATAAACATTACAAGAAGATGCATTGCGTGACGATGCGCTGTACACCCTGCAACGAGGTCTTCTACTCTCACACCACCTTTACCGATCACAAGGACGCAATACATTATTGTAAAAAATGCAAAACCTACAAGATGGATCTGAACATCCACCAGACGTTCTGCAAGGGCGTCCCAATAAGACCCTCGCCGCCTGTACTCAACACCCCTCAAGTGATTCTAAATAGCCCTACGGTAATTACAGAGAATCCCACCGATGTAATCGAAGTCGAGGATAGTGACTAGACATTATCATCTCTGTTGGATACATACATATACATAATGCAAATAAGAACTAATTTATTCTTGTGTATCATAGTTATTATTATCTATATATTTTTTTTATATGTATATCATCATGTGTCTTTTTATTTGTATAATAAATAAGCGTATCTGTTAACATTTGATTACTTGTTTCTAAAGATTGCAGTCAAGTATTAGTGGAAAAAGTGAAAGTGATTTAAACTTCATTACAAAGTATCAAAATAGTTATTGAAGAAATTTTATATATTTTGCACAAATATTATTTTGCAATCTCTTTATAATTTTCAGGTGTCTTACGAGGCAGAAGGAAGCAAATATACGAATAAAATTCAATTGCTGTTACTTTTCTGTTGTTTTCATCGATTCCCCGGTGTTTATTTGTTCTTTCGAGAATCGTTATCCTAACGTTTGCCTTTTTTAGAAATTTCCAAGAAGCCATGTATAGCCAATCGAACTTTGGCTTGGAAAGCTGCGACTTGCAGGTCAGGCAACAGCAGCAGCAGTACATGCTGTGCGTGAAGCAGGAGGGAGAGTACAATCTGCTGGACAGCGCCGTCGACCAACTGAGCGATCCGGACCTGCTGAACCTCTTGGCCACCGAAGACTGTACGTCCATCCTGCAGAACATCGAAAGCAATGAGAACTTCGAGAGACTCATTAGTAACGATGTGGACGATGGAAATTTGAACTTCCTGGATGCGAACTACTGCGAAAATATCTTGAAGGAGGAATGCTATTTGCAACAGGAGCAGCAACAATTCGAGG